GATAAGAAGTTATTTCGTCACGAGATACAAATTTAGATGTTAGATAGTCGGGAGTCATCCCATGTACGGTTTTATACATCATAATAGCCGTCGATACTTGTCTTTAGTGTTTAAGCTTACGCCAACCCAGTGCCAGGAACAAATCGTCCACATTACAATCAGAATTAGCGGACATTAGAATACGGGCTGCACGATTTTGGAGTCTCTGCAGCTTATCGGAAAGACCAATGCCGCAGTTGCTCCATGCGGACATTACAGTAATCAAAATGCGGTTGAATTAAACTGTCGTAAACATTAATTAATACATTAATGAATACATTAATACATTAAAGTGTTGGCTTTTTGTATATTTCTCTCTGTAAGGGCTGGATTAGATGTCATTTCCTCATAAAGTTGTTCTTTGGGTGATGCAACGGCAGGTTACCTTGTAAGACTGAACAAAAAGCAGAATTTTTTTTTCACACATTATTGTTTTGTAGTAAAGCCGACTTCCCTTCAGCAAATTTAACCTCTGAGGTAATTTTTTTCAATGAGATTGTGAGGGTAGCCACTAGTACGTACACTTGTGAGTTAAGTTGTTCTAAAACAGTAAGGTCTTCACCTTTCATGAGATTCTGTAGCTATAAACACAAGCACAAAATTTCAGAAGGTCCAAAGTACACTTCCCAGATCTGGAAGTCTGCTGTGATTGGTCTACGTTTTTTTCCGTTTAAGTCAGCAGATGTTCGTGGGGCAGGAACGCATGACAAACCCCTCAGAACGTCTGCGTGGGAAGCTATCATGTGACCAGCTATGAACTTACTCATTATAAGAAAATGGTGTGGGTCTGAAAAACTAAATCAGTATTATTTTGTTTAGGATATGACCCACTAATTGTCTCTTGAAGGCAAAATCATATAACTTTCATTTTCATAAAAATGATGTCACATGATCTCTTAGTGCAAATGGCCTATTGTATAGGTCACAACAAAATTTTTCTACCACTCAAACTCACAACAGGAACGATATACCACGATCAAATTTCAACTTTAGCACTTTATCACAAAAAAAAGAAAGAAAGCTTAATTAAGTTAATCAACCAATGAACAAGCGACAAATAATCATCATTTCGAGTTGCCAAGGGAAAGACCATTTAATCAGGTATTCACAGGTTCACGCGAAATTAAAACCAAAAACCCTTTACAAAATTTCTTGATTTTTCACGCTAGAACTGTTCTTAATTGAAATCAACTTCTAGATGGAATAAGCAAAGCTCAAGCCCAGAAAAAAGGGAAAAAGACACCTTGACCGCATTTTTAATTTAGACGCGTGGCGATGAAGCGTTCTTTTTCTCTACTCAGTTTACGAAAAAAATATTTACAAAATTAATGATCCGTACTTACATCCCTGTTGAAAGAAGACCAAACTGTGACAACGTTGCACTCCATGAAATTATATGTGTTATGTCCATGAACAACGAGTGAAAACTTTCAAGTGGTTCAAAGGCATCCTTCGACCAAAAACAAAAACCTCTCTGGCCGATGGCAGGCCTGGGATCGGGAGATTGGGTCCAAGGAGAACGCAAGATATAGGAACGCCTGATCGAAATTGCAGTCGTACATTCAAATGCAATGGGTTCTTTTGCGCACTATTGCAACGTTTCTTTTTTCTTGTATTAGAATATGGCACAAGTTGCAATACACCAGGCCAAGAAAGCGTTACGACGTGAACTAAAGAAAAGAATTGCCGGAATGTCTGATGTTGTCAAATTAAAAGAGTCGGCATCAATCGTGAACAAGGTAAGTAAGGCCATTTTACAGTTATGGATGGAAGCGAGGCTGAGGGTGACCTTGTTTTGATACAAACCTTCCTGCTTTATTATGTAAATCAAGTTATTCTTTATGTTAAGTAGTATTTTTCAAGAACAATTTCCATAACAAAGCAGAGAAGGTTTGTATCAAAACAAGGTCACCCTCAGCCTCACTTCCTTCCATAACTGTAAAATGGCCTACAATTTATTCAACAAGCTGCTAGCTACAAGGCTGTATGAAAGGTGGAAACTGGTCGTTTCGATCATAGATGTTTCGTTACAAGTTGTTTCGATACAAACTCTGGCAGCGAAACTCCACAACAGTTGGAGTAAGTTGGCCAGTTTCCTTTCGGAATTCAACCCATCTTTATATCGCTCACCACCATTTCATCCAGTCTTTTATGCACCTATCATCCGCCATCCCCTGGGGGGACCCCGGGCAAATACAACTTTGTACAGGGACTCATAGGGGGATTTGAAAGATCATTTTACCCTCGAGGTGGGGGAAGTTTACCACATCCTTGCACCCAAAACTGGGAGCTTTGTCGAAAGAAATTAGATTGATTTCAAGTTGTCTGAAATCAAGGATATACAGACTACCTTATTATAGGAAATTAACGCTCCATGAAATTAAGGTATTGGAAATTAATGTGACTTAAATTAACGTGAATTTAATGGAAAACGACTTTCGAATACAGAAAATTAACGCGAGAGAGGAGGTAGAATTTCATACTAAAGAAAATTAACGTGATTCTCATATTCTGTCGAGAAAGACTATGTTGACGATTCGAAATCTATCTTGGCCGAAATCAAAGGAGAAGATATTGACCTCACTTCTGACACTGACAACGATGAACATGAACTCGAAATATTGTTAACCTTCTCCTTAGCTTTTGTGAAAGATGAAAAATAAAGGGTAAATGGAAAGAAAGAAAGCTTGTAGTTAATGTTTTTTAGGTGTCAAGAATGTCTGGACAGGTTCCAAAATTAGGGTTAAAATACTGGAAATTAAGAGCGCGGAAATCAATGCTCGACAAAATTAACGCGACTTAAATTAACACGAATTTTAACGATTCGCTTTAATTTCATGGAGCGTTAATTTCCTTTAATAAGGTAATTGTCCAGAAGATCCCCTCATAGTGAGGGGCTCACAACATGGAAGACCACATAATCTCAGGTATTGCTGGTTTGTACATGACGTCATGACAGCCATGTTGGTGGTCAAGAACAAGCGCATTTCTCTCCTCTGGGAACTAAACTCCATTTTCATGTAAATTCTTCGAGAAAAAATTCTGTTGTGTTGACCCCCAACATGGCCACCCTGTCACGTGGTTGCAAAGCAAGAATTGTTATGTAAAATGCTTCTTCTGATCAGGTAAGCTGAGTCATCATGTTTACTGTGGTTTCATGTTGTTCAATATGATATCCATCTGGGAGGGGCAAGTTCTTAACTTTGATTGCTCTGTGCCCCCATCAAAGAGGGGGAGGTAAAGCTCTTTCACAGAATCCTTTACAAAGTCCCCCCCCCCTTCCTTGGGGTCCCCCCAGGGGATGGCCGATGACATGTGTCACAGTTTATGTCACTGTTTCAAGGCCATGTCACTTGTCAGAATTTGACCCTAACAGGACCTCTATAATGGAAAGCATTTTTGGATCAATTTAGGTTTTTGGGAAACTGCCCAACTACCCCTCCCCTAAGTTAACATTAACACTTACTTCTCACTTAGGGCAAAATGATGGCTTAGGGGATGGGTAGGTGGGCAGTTTCCCAGAAACCTAAAGTGATCCGCTTTTTTTTTCGGTTGTCCCTTATATCATACCTGGTTTAACAAAGAAGTTAGAAGTTGTCAAAAGTGAAAAGATTGAAAAGATATGGACATGTCCATAGACAGTTTCATTAGAGTAACTGTTAACTTTTTCTTTGGTCTATATATCCTTGAAATCATATCTTTCATTTTTTTTCTTTAGTTACTTGGAATGGAAGAGTACAAGTCAAGCAAGAGAATTTCTGTTTATCTTAGCATGCCCTCTGAAGTGCAGACTGAGGGAATTCTGAAGGTTAATAATAACATACATCTCTACAGAAATCTTTGGTTGATATTTCTACCTCCAGAACAGCATATATATGACCACAGTACTGCCTAAGTTTTTTCTTGGGTGATTTTCATTTTAGTTTTGAAATTCACAGTAGGAAATAACTAATATTATTATTTTAAATAAAAGATCACTTTTATGGCTAATGTTGGTTCTCTTTTCCCTGTTAATTGCAGGATATTTTCAAGACAAAAAAGTAAGTGAAATGATAATAAATGTATGAAGCATTAATGACATTACAGACAACTTTCATTTCATTTATTTCATTTGTTTGATATATTTTCAGAGATTGTTTCATTCCCCGGTATATTGGTCCTAATATGAACATGGTCAAACTTAACTCCATGGAGGATATGATGTCTCTACCAGTCACTGCCTGGAACATTAAACAACCAGCAGGTTATAAGTAACTTCAATTGATCCTTTAAGGAGGGGGGGCAAGGGGGTGTCTGGTCATGAGTTCATGAACAACAATTTACACGAGTTTCACAAGTCAAGAAACAAATAGTGTAATTATTGACCTTTGATCTCAGCTACGTGTTCAGGTGATCTGGGTGCAGCTATAAATTCCCTAGGGAAGCCAGCTGAAGGTGGGTCTGAGCGCACTGAAGTGTGAAGACTCAAAAGGGAGGTTAAATCAAGCCACCAGATGATAGTTAAGGTTGTTTGGCCAAAATAATGATTTTGTTGTCTTCAATTGATCCTTAATGTACATGTACACAATCAAGGATTTTGGCAGTTCACGTTTCACAGAGTGCACCTCAGTCACGATTCACAGAGTAGTTTTTCAGTTTATCACGATTCATGAACACCAAAAATGATTGATCACAGGGTCAGGATTATAAGCTTGCCCTCCCCTCTTTAAGTCTCAAGAGTGACCAGCATCAGTTTTCTCTTAACAATATCAGTGCAAAAAGGAGAAAAAATTATGATAATTAATAGAGTGATCACCTAAGGGAAAAGGTTTTGGTGTCATTAAAATTCTCTCAACCAAATCTGCAAGGAAATCTCTTTGAAAAGTTTGAAATGCCTTGTTATGACTTTGTAAAGAATTTCAGTACTTTGGACACTAGTTAAATACCAACTGAGCTCTTAAGGCCCAAATTGAGCATCAGGCAACACTTTAGGGAACATCTATGAACTTTTCCAAGTTTAAAGATTTGTCATGGCTAAGAACACTTTAAGTGAAATACATAGAGGATATTACATGGCCGCGCAGGGATATGAATTTTATCTTTGAGTGCTGAAAGTATCTCTCACGAGGGAGCGAAGTGAACGAGGGAGAGATAATTTCAGCAACAAAAGATAAAATTCGTATCCCCAAGCGGCTATGTAATGTTCTGTATATTTTAAAGATACTGATGAAATTCCTACATAAAACCTCTTGTAATTCTTATAATTGGCTAATCATATTAGTAACCATGGCGACACCAATATCCTCACACGTGAAAGGTAAAAATAGTATCTTCACTGCGTGCGATGAAGATATGATTTTTTAGTAAAAGGAAAAATCCTGGTATTTCATCAGTATCTATATAATAAAGTAGGTTTCTTCTTCAGAACAGGATGAAAGAGAAGAAGCAATATCAACTGGGGGGCTTGATCTAATTATCGTTCCTGGACTTGGATTCACAAAGGTTAGCTATTAACTTTTGTCAATTAGGCTCTAAACACAATAAGCAATGTTTTTTTTATCGGATGTTTTTTTGCGGATGTGGCCACTCTCTCTTCCTCTTAGCATTATGTTTGGCCAGACAAAATCTCATCCCAGAGCCTGCTTTCCATTTCTTTGTTTATTAATTTTTTATTTACTAGTTCAGCCAGTTGTGCAATATACTGAGCATTTTAGACCACCTTTTGTTCAACACAAACACCATGACCTGAGGCCCATTTCTCGAAAGTGCTGGTATTTTTTCGGACCTGAAATCAAATAATCAAATCAAAAGCTTTTCCTTTTTTGTTAACTGATAGTAGTATAGTAGGCACCAAATTATCCATTTTTTGGGCAGGAATCTCATTAACTTGCACAGAAAAATAGAAATAAAAATAGAATGAAAAGAGAAAGAAATAAATTGTGGATGAGCATTGGAAAATTGTCTTTCATTCTAAAATGACCTAGTTTGCCTTTGCCCTCATTAATATACATAATTTGGGCGCCAAGAATCCTTGAACCAGAACTAGGACAATGACAGCAGAAGGAAATAGAACTTGTATGATCATTTTAAGACTCAGTGATTTGAAGTCACAGGCAAGTTTGAGTTTATTCCTCAGACACCATGAATTAATCACTGAAAACGTTTCATATTTTCTAATCAACCATTGGAAAACCAAGACATTTACAAAACCGGTCAAGGATGGTGGGTCTATTGTTTCTATTGTATTAGAAATACAAAAAAGAGAAGATGATGAGATTCCTGTGTATTTTACCATTCATGAGATTAAGACAAAAGGCTATGACATCGTCGGCATTAATGTATTCCTATGCAAGTTAATGAGATTCTCGCGCAAAAAATAATGGATAATTGGGTGCCTACTATACTACTCCTGATATATTTATCTCATTTATCTCATTACCTCATTTTCTGTAAAACTATTGCTAACAAAAAAAAGAGAGGCAGCTCGCCTACACCACTCCTAATTCACTGACGCAAAGTTCATATTGATTTCTATGCCCTTCCCGATGAAAAAACTCATCATCTACCCTTCTTATGTGGTTAATAAGCTAGGCAAATGGATGGTTACTAGAAGCTTAGATGAGTCACTAAGCAAGGTGAACCTTGCCCATCATTTAGAAAGTAAATTTTCATCCCGAGTGGCTGCTTATGGAAGGTGTGGTTTTGTTGGCTTGTGTAAACAGTAATTAAGAGTTTTGTATATATTGGGCTATTGCATTTAACACCTGCACCCCCCCCCCCCTTCCTGGTTGAGGACCCATGGAATTCTTCATTGGTAAGTTATAAAACTTGAGGATTTCTTTAGGGGCAGTGCATATGGATTCCTTGGAGTAGAAGCTTTAATTTTTAACAAAATCTTCAGGGGTGAACATAAGGAAAAATCAACTTTTCACCATATTCTTCAGGGGTAAACCCATATTTTCGGGGGTAGACCCATATTTTATGAAAGTCTTAAGGGGTGAGTGCAGTTTTATGAAATTCTTCAATGTTAAGAAGAAAAGGTAGGTCCTTACCCGAGGGGAGGTATCAACATTGAATGCGATATAGACTGTTAATGCTTTTACAAGTGATAAGAGAATTCACACAGAACTTATTCGCTTTTTTTCTTTTTTCTGTTGAAGGGGGGCCTACGTCTTGGTCGAGGAAAGGTATGTACTGACCTTAAGGTAGAACAAATTGAACTTTGTACTCGTGAAAAAGGTTAACTTTGTCATGTAATGGAGAGGATGCAAGATTTCACATGTAAAGGAAGTCGAGACTGAGAAACCCCACTAACCCTAAAGCTTTTGGTAGGTTCTTCACACATGATTCCTATAGTGTACCAAGATATAGATTCCTATAGTGTACCGCATCTTTCTTATTGTGTACCGAGGTACTTGTCTTACTTGTGTGTCTTGAATTACTTGACTGTCTTGGCCTACTTCAGTTACTTAAGACACACAAGCAATCCAAGAAACACAATTAAGCCAAGTAAGTGAAGTAGGCCAAGACAGTCAAGCAACCCAAGACACACAAGTAAGCCAAGTACCTCGGTACACTGTAAGATCTAGATGTGGTGTACTATAAGAATCTATATCTCGGTATACTATAGGAATCATATATGAAGTACCTACCACTTTCTTTGTTTTCGCTAAACCCGTTGGACACAAAACCTCCCCTGGGTCGATGTTACATTGTCACAACCCTAAAGGAGAGAGCTATGGTGAAAAGTATATACTTTGTTCAGCCTTGTTACTTGTCCAGTTCACATTATGTAAGAAGGGGGCTTGGAACCAAGCACACTAGGTGAATAGGCGTACCATTTCCGGTTATTTTCGTTCCTCTCCTTTGGAATTAGAGTTTTTGAAAAAAAGGTCATTTCCGAGTTCAGGCGAAGGGCAGAATCTTTCTTCTGGAAATGAGTTTCGTTTACATGTTGCATGAGAATTAAAAATGATATTTATATCAATGGCTTTGCTCTTAGCCTCGTTTTGAAACAGAGACTGGGGGAACTAAATGAAGACAGGTTATGCCATCTTGCGTAGCTTGCATAGCAAGCTATACCCTCCAAGGATGCCTGTGAACGAGGCTGAAGAATTGCGAGTTCATCGTCTTCATTTTTTGTTCACTAGTTCTGGTCAACATTCAGTTACAATGAAAATTTTACGGATGAGAGTCTTCTATGGCGTGTTTTGTTTCATAACATTTCATTGTTGGCAATTGCAGGGATATTACGACACTTATATTATGAAGTGCATCGAAAAGTGTGAAAAGAAGCCTCTTTTAATTGGTATGTACATATCAAAATATTTTTAGCAGTTTGTGTCCTACTCGCTGCGTTGACGTCAGCCATGACGTCAATGATGAAATAATTCCAAAATTATCTATAACTGACGTCACATAAGAAACCAACGCGGCAACTCAGCCGTTTTGGCCAATCTGAACCCAATAAAGAAGTTAAAGAGTTTACAGCTATGCAAAGAAGAAAAAGCCAAATTACTGACTAAAGATAATCGCAGGAATACACAAAAATACAGCTCGGTGGATTTCACAAGTGCTTATTGAGGAATATCTGCAGGAAATAAGCATTTGTTTATATCAGGCTGAAAGTGCCGAGAAAGAGGTTTTGAAGAAAGTCTATGTTGAGTTAAGAATGTTTTGAGCCTGGAAATATTTTCATGAATAATAAATTATTGAATTCTGCCTTTGTACGAAATGAAGACTTAAGCAGATTTCGGAGGGTGTTATCAGGCCTCTGTGGGTAACACCTTCCGAGATCTGCATAAGTTCTCATATTGTGCAAAATAGACTTGTTTCAAGTCGACTTCTCATAAGTTCTCGATCGAGAGCAGTCTTTCTAATGAAGTCGCGGTGACTAAGCGAGCGAGTCGCGAGGTTACCTAACCAACCAGGAAAAAAATAAAAGATTTCCGGAAAGTCTTCATACGAAAGCATTGCTTACTAGCTTCTGCAACACAAAGAAAAAAACGTTAGAAAAGTTTTTTCGCCTTGTACTTCATTCAAATTGAAGAACGTTTGTGGAATAGGCTGTGTTTCCTATATATTGTCTTTTTTCAGGGTTTCTGGTTTAGGGGCCACTGCGTTTGAGTGATCTATGGCTTTCTTGAAATGGCCCTCGCTCAATAAGTACATTAGCGTATGGCATTGAACGTTAGGTCCACTTCCTTGCAAGAACTTTGCCCTGTGACCTGTTGTAGTGTGTGTACACAAATGTGCATTAATGAGTTCTTTCTTTATTTTTTTTCTTTTCTTTTTCTGTTTATTATGATATACTTAGGTTACGTTCACACGGCAGCGTACAAATTTTTGACCAGCTGAAAATTTTTTTCCAGACACGCAGCTTTTCAAACACCTTTAAGTGGTTCCCTATGAACACCTAAATCCACAAAAATTCGTCCAGTGCCGTGTGAATGTAGCATTAAACAGTATTTTAGGGAAGATAGTCTCTATTAAGAGACTATCATTATTAAAATGATTGCATTCATCTCGGCTAACTTCCAGGCTAACTTCTTAGGATACTGATACTACGACCTCTAGCCCTTAGGAGTGACCCGGGGGGCGGGGGGGTTATCCTGTTATTCTTGGTGGGGGTGTGCTGCCCAGTTCTCCAAATCCTGACCCTATTTGAGACCAAAAAATGTCATTTTTCACACCCGTTTTCAGACCTGGTCTCTAAGATATAATGTCATTTCTCCTTAACTTATCACTACGTAATCAAACGTAAAAGTCATTTACTAAGAAAGGTTCTAATTGTTCAACTAATCCATGTTATCAGTACAATAGGAAATATTTTGAAAACAGTGCAGAGAATCTGCATGCTGATATTAAAAGTTTAAGACATGCGTTATTGACCAAGGGTGAGGTCAAGATGGCCGGATATTGCCAATTTTATTTTTTGCGTTTTTATTGACCGAGACGAAGTGAAGGTTAAAATAAAAACGCAAGAGGGAATGAGGCCAATATCCAGACATGTTGACTTAACAAGCTTGGTCCATAAAGGATTTATGTTCAGGACAAAAAGAGAATTTTTTTCTTTGGGACCAAAGAGGTAATCCCGAATGGGCGAGGTGGTCCCATCTTGCCCGCTCGTGTAGCAAATCAGAATACAGATTTCACTTCATTTTTTCTCGCGGATTCAGCCATATAATAATGTAGAATTCTACACGATAGCTGAAGATCACTCAGTTCTTCTATTTTTTGCAGGTTTGGCGTTTAGTACTCAACTCTGCAATGAGCTTCCCGTCACAGAACGAGACATGACGTTAGATCACGTGATCTCATTTCAGCCGGATTAGGATATGTCAGACTGTAATTAACCTGAAATAGACACTTATTTTATTACATGAAATTTATTACTAAATGTTTCTAAATACTAGTTGTAAAAGGCAATAACTTTTTTATCACAGAGACATAGGAAGCCAAAAGATTTTATAGTAAAATTGAAGGTTGAATAAATCCTTGCCTATTTAATACTTCTAGAGGCTTATTAAACTACAAAAAAAAATTTCAAATGAATCTGAAAATGAACGGAGAACCTCAGTTTTAAGGGTTTTGTCAGGAAACAGCTTGACAGCAAACCGACTTACTAGAAACCATTGGAGAGGCAATATTGAGTTGCAGTTAGTTCATTATCATTCCATCTGAAAAGTAAACAGTATCATAGGACAAAGTTTACTATTGCAAAAAAACTCTTAGAAAAAAGGCTGCGAAACACTCTTGCTTTTTGTTTGCTTGTTTTTTTAAAATGTGTTTTGTGATACGCAGATTACCATAGCAAGAGGTGTTTGCGAAAAGCGCCCAAGCATCACACGCGTTCTCAGATCTCTCGTGTCATCGCTCGCGCGTTCTTGACCTGCGCAGAAATACAGGCTATTTTGCAGTTTTCTTTGAGAATAGACCAGTATAGGCATCCTCGAACTGCATAATTCTTAGTATCGTACTAAGCGTCATCCAATAATTGCTAAATAACAGTAAGTAAGATGGAAGTGTTGATTTTTTAACACTAACAGGCTCATTTGCTACATTTTCTGAGTAAATGTAAGTCATGCATACCTGGATTCATTTGGCAGAAAAATGCAAACGCATGCGAGAAAAAAAAAAAGCGAAGACTTAATGTTTTGTTGCTAAAATTGAGAGAATCAGTAAAGAAAGTGTCGGTTGGAAAGGGAGAGGGGGCGTAACGCCAAGTGTGCGGCCAACAAGGTTGAGACTTGACTATATGCATATGACCATGGCAATATCACCTATCACGCTGTTGGTGTAATGAAGGCTGCGCGTTTTGCTACGAGCAAGGAAAAATATGGATCCCAAGAAATGGGTAATCTTTACGTCTGACAGAGTGCCAGCCCACCGAGATTCGGCCATTTCCCCCGCCCCATACGTACAAATCTTATGCTTCCCACCCCTGCCTCCCTCTCAAACAGGCAATAAGCAGTCTTAAAGCGGCCATCAAGGTCGACATCTTCCGTCCTGAAATTCAAAGACTTATGGACAACAGAGATGAAGCAAGAGCCCGAAGAATGCCACTAGAGGATATTCAAACACAACAACTTCTTGACGCTCTACACAGAAACATCGACACCGTGACCGCAGCTAAATGTGCTCAATGGTACCGTTTAATGCACTGACCTACCTGCCAAGATGTTTAAACAGAGAGTTTATTGAGGGATAGACTAAAATTCAGGACAAAATAATTTTAAATAGGTACTATTCAATTGAAAATCGATTTTTGTTTACTGAATTTAAAGAACGGGTAATTGGTTGTACAACTGCGTGCATTAATGTTTGTCTCATTCACGCTAAGGCCGTCCAGGAATTCTATTGAATTGCAAACAGTGTGACAGAAATGTTAATAAATGGTATATGCACTTGGTGTTTGTCTATTGTCCCTATTGATTTTCAAGATGGTGTTAATGACTTGCATACTAGAACAAATGAAAGTATATTTTTTCTCTTTTGTATGCCGAATGACGCATATGAATGTCCAAAAGTGTTATTAAATGTTGATTAAAATGCAAAAATCGCTATTGAATCTGATTTATGCGCAAATGTTCGTATTTTCGCGCTAATGAATGTCTCTTCGCGTAATTGATCGCCGTTGCACGCAAACGATTGCATATTTTCTCGTGATGAACAGCAAACTGAGGTGTATTAGTAACTGAACTAACCAGCCTACAGAGGAAGGTATGTGGACCACCAGGTAAGTGAACGCAAGTTTCTAAACAAACAAACGAACTAACTTACATACGAGCTATTTTTTCAAAATAGCTCATATGTCAATGGTTTGAGCGTATGTATCTTTGTGGCTTTGTGTGTTCGGATTTCTCTTGCAGGAGCCAATAAGATTGAAGGTACTGTACAACCCCGAAATGATCCCCAACCCTGAAATAATCCCCAAATCGACCCAGAAATGATACCGACCCCGAAATGATCCCCATTTAATTTTAGGAATGGAATGATATCCTAGAACTATGAATCGTGCAAAATGCACAACATTATAACTTAAGCTTCACTAATAATCTTCACTTGCCCACATGACATTAATTTTGGATTCCACTTTGAACTGGATTAAACGCCGGAAAATATTATTATCAAAACAATACACAAAGTCTAGTATATTTTTAGGAACACCATGAACTGCAACTGATAATATCAAGAAACATAACATTTTTTAAAATTATTACTTGGGTTATAGAGAAAACTGCATAGATGTTAAATTCTAAAAATGATGTTAAAACTGCATGCCTTGGATATTGAATTTTAAAAATGGTGTTTTAACACTTTTTAAAATCTTAAAATGATGTTGAAGATGCAAAAGTATACATAAAGGCGATTAGATGACAAAAGCTGTAAAAAATCCCATTAACTGTAGCGAAATGTTTAATTAAGGTAAAAAAAAAAACACTGCAAATACCGTGTACGATCAATCTTGCTCAACGTCGGATCCAAAGAGATCGTGATCAGTCAAAATAGATCAAATTGAAAACGTTACAGTCAAGAAGACTTTAGCAGGTTTCAGTCTGAGTCTTGGGTTTGTTTGTAAGTGCGTCAGTGCGAAGAATGTCGGAAGCTCGTTGTATTTGCATCTTAAGAAAGGTTTTGTCGTAGCCGCGAATACACTTTTCATTCTACAGGTGAGACCCACCACATCAAATCTCATACTCACTTTTGAAACTTTTAATGTTATCTATTTGATTCAATGTCGCCTGTGTAATCTACAATGTATTGGAGAAACTAAACGTCGCCTCAAAGACCGTTTTAATGAACACAGACGACCTATACTCCACCCTACTGGTAATTACATCCATACTGCAGTTTCAGAACACTTTCTAACCAGTAATCATTCCGACAATCATATGCTTTTGATTCCTATTGAAAAACTTAAAAATGGGCGTGATTCTTTCAGGAAAGCACGTGAAGCCCACCTTATCCATAAAGCTAAGACAACTGAGCCTCTGGGCATCAATAAACGTGATGAACTTTAACTATATAATGTATATATACTATATCTTTTATTTTTTTGTTATCTTGTCTTTTAAAGTAGCCATCATACCAGGTCATATTATGTAATTTCCGGTCATAATTTTACCTCATATATACATTTCTTTGAATTCGTGATATCTCAATGAACCTGATGAAGACTGGTATTGGCCAGTCGAAATATCGCAACTAAACTCTATTTCACTTTGTTTGATCAGTCGCTGCTAAAGTCTTCTTGACTCAGACTCGTACCCAGTCACTATTTAAGTGTTTTTCGGGATGAGAGACGATTGGGGATTAGGTTGAGGCGCGCGCGGGGTCTCATGGGAAGGGAAGAAGGAAAAATACTGTTCTTGACTGTAACGTTTTCAATTTGTAGCGAAATGTTAAACGCGATTTAAGAACGTAAACGCTGCAACAGATCTGCAATAATTCCGTGACGGAATACAAGTCCCATTCCAAGAATTAATTGGGGATCATTTCGGGGTCGACGTGAAGAGAAATGGGGATCATTTCGGGGTCGGTATCATTTGGGGGTCGATTTGGGGATCATTTCAGGGTTGGGGATCATTTCGGGGGCTGTTCAGTTCTCGTACCTCGAACGCAATTAGGGAGTAAGTTTCATTCAATAAATGTCAACAATTCAATAAACCCGGGTCCTTACCTTTGTGATCACAAATCGCTTGATCGTTGATCGAATGGAACCCTTTCCTGTTCACAAAATCGCTCTAGTGAGGACTTGGCCCTTGAATACGTATATGCGTCCCATCGATGCAGCCAATGACTCCGGGAAAGTCCTTTTCATAAAATGTCTTGCTTTATCTCTTGCCTTTCTGCTTTTGAGCGAGGGCTGTTGAAACTCTGCTGACGATTCTGGAAACCGTGCATTTTGGAATGCCACCCACTGTATCATACATACATACATAC